TAAACCATTCTAATCAGTCTAAGTCGTCTGAAAGTGGTCCAGATAGAAGACTTCACAGACGACTAAAAGTTAAGTCGTCTGAAAGTCGTCCAGAAAAAGACTTCACAGACGACTTTCAGACGACTTAGTTGGAGTTATTTATAAGTAAGAAAATAGAAGACTTACATGGTCGGTGAACCATTCTAAAGGGGTTCGGATGACATGATAAAACCGACTTGGACATTTTCGTGATTTTTTGTCCAGAAGCCGTTTATATGCCTTGAAACACAAAAATAATCAATCATTTTTTCCAGAAGCAGTTCATAGGATATTAAAGCGACTTACAGATCAGTTTGGAGCCATTTAGTGAGTTCATCCGACTTCTTCTTGTCAACTTCAGCAAAAGGATCATAACCTTTGCCAACAATTTTGTTTGGAATGATCTGTTTGACAGTGCTGTTTCCCTTGAAAGGAGTTTGTTGAGTGGGAGAAAGTTTCCGATCTCGCTCACTTTTTGCACGGAGTTTCACTTTGTATGCTTCCTTCTTTGTCTGCCTCCTAGCTTCCGTGAGCTCTAAATCTTCGGCAGTGGGTTTGTCCAAAACAAGAAGACTGGCTTCACCACTCGGGTCATCTACATTTTCCTTCACCACCAGCTCTCTCGAGTCTTTCGAGGGAGTATGACACTTTTCTTTCGCCCCATTCACACTTTCACTCTGCAATGTCGATATACAAAATGTTTTTAAAAACAGACCACAAAGGTTCGGAAGCAAAGGATACGATGGTTAAAAACTCTACACACAAGCCTATTTTGTCCTCTTCTTAACACGTTGCATAGTGATTCTGGTACTAACCCCGGGTTTTTCTGGATTTGCTGAAGTACTACCCACCATCTTCTCCAGATCTCCCACCTTCTTCTCTAAAGCTCCCACCCTAGACCCCACCAACTGTATCTCCCTAAGGCACCTATCAAACCCATCCTTCATGGCATCAGATATGTCCTTCAAGGCTTTTTGAAGATGCTTTTTCGTAAAAGACTCAGCTTCAACATGCGACTCTTTACGAGCTTTCTTCCAAGGTCTGCTACTCTCCTCCTTCACACCACTCTCCTCCTTCACAC